ATTGTCAATCATGTGTCTGTGGAGACATCTGCAATAGTCAACTGATTGTTGAAGTTATTTTTTTCAGCACCATTGTAAGTTTGAATGGCTGCTAAATAAGGCAGTTGATAAGCAAGGTCTACCTCCAATCCAGCACAGTCAGTTCTCATATAATAACTACCTGAGGCAGACATCGTTCACAAATACAGTGGTATTAAATGCTAGTAAATGGTAGTAAAAAATAATTTTACAATCACTTATGTTCAAATATCTGTGTCTAACAACGTCAGAGAGTCACACTGGAGCTGCTGCAAGAAAGAACTTTTGTATAAATGAGGCACCAGCAACCAGTGGTCATGGTAGGCGCTCCTTAGTGTCATTTTAGTGAGTATTTTGTTCAGTGACCATTTTTCTGGAATAAAATGTGACTATTAAACAAGGAGAGGGTGTAAGTGTGCTAGATTTCAGCTTATGGGAAGGAGATTTAAGTGAAAAATTTGCAAAGCTATAATACAGGTAATATTCAACAATTTGCTTATTGCCCGGTTTAGTTATTGTTTAGTGAATGGTTGTAACCGTTCAAAATTACAAAGACACTGAAAAAAGTGACTTGCGTTGTTTTTCACATTTACTACCATTGCAACATATCCATAAACAAGTCTCCAAATTTGGACCCTTGGCAAACGGCTCATATTGATGTCCTGGGATGATGTGATCACTCTTTGTGACCAGACAAGCAGAGTCAAGAGGAAGACAGATTCGCTTAAGAACCATGCTACTAACTTAATAACTGGCAGGAAAGGTTGTAAAATGGGACAAAACTCACTTAACAAATGTCTCAGCAACATAAGTTTTGGGCTGTCTTGTGGTCGTAAATCAGGGGCTACCTATATTTCCTTGACTATAAAAAAGTCATCATTTTGGTTCCTAATTCTGCAGTATGAGATGAGAATGAAGACAAGTACTCTGATTTTATTTAGCATGGATTTATTCTCTCTCTTCACAGAAAACAATTACCCTCTGTTTACAAAACAAGGAGGGGATATCGGACCTCAGCATTGAAAAAGTCATGGCTGCCATGTCAGGACATGTGAGCAGATCCCATTTCATGTTTTCTTATCTGTTTCCCTGTTTGTTTTGATTCTATCCTTTTCACTCTCTCTATGGACAAAGAATTGTTTTTTAAATGTATATGTTGTCTGTTCTCTTCCATTACCAGGAAGTTGCCTTCAGCTGCTTGTCCCAAGAAGAAAACCAGCATTTCCAAAAATCATTGAGGCGCCTGAATTCTGTAGCACAGGTACCAAACCAACTAAAGTTTAACCCATGACATTTACATTGGTTTAGGCCATGAAGTTATGAAAAAATAACTCATTCTGACAACAGTATTAAAGCTTGATGAGCTGTGGTGGTGCAGTGGTTAGAATGCAGTACTACAGGCCACTTCTGCTAACTGCAGTTCGGTAGTTTGATTCTCACCAGCTCAAGGTTGATTCAGCCTTTCATTCTTCCGAGGTTGGTAAAATGAGAAGCCAGATTATTAGGTGCAATATGCTGACTCTTTAAACTGCTTAGAGAGAGCTGTGAATTAGTATATAAGTCTAAGTGCTATTGCTATTAAATTGCAAAGTCATAACCTGAGTTGTCAACAACAGATCCAATACTGAAGCCCAATAATTGGGTTGTGCCCAATTGATTGTTTTAACTCAGCTGTTGTCCTTTGGACAGAGGCTTATATGTTCCTTGCCAAACATTAAGAATCAAAATCAACCTTAGCCTTACAATTAGATGGAATGAGCTTCCATAGTGGCATTTAAAAAATGGCAACCACGACCTCATGATCAGTCCTGTCCCTTCAGTATGTATGTTGCAGTTGATTTTTTTGAATCCCTTTGCCCTTCTCTCTTTTGTGCAAGAGGCTAAAAAAACAAAACTTGTTTATCCTGATTTCACTGATTGAGAAAGGTGATTGTGACCTTTTCAGTAGCCAGAATTTTTCAGTTGTGGGATAATGGCCCTATTCCATTCCTTGACGTGCCAGGTGTCAGCCTTCCCAAGATCATACAAAAACCCAGATTCAGAAACAAGACAAAAAAAGTTGGTAATATTTTGAATGCACAGAAGAATAGAACAGAACAGAACAGAACAGAATATAATTTTTTATTCGTCAAGTGTCATTAGACACACAAGGAATTTGTCTTTGGTGCATATGTTCTCAGCGTCCATAAAAAGACAATATACATTTGTCAAGAATCATAAGGTAGTTAATGATAGTCATAGGGTACAAATAAGCAATCAGGAAACAATCAGTATCAATTTAAATCGTAAGAATACAAGCAACAAAGTTACAGTCCTGCAGTCATAAGTNGAACAGCTGGAGCCTGTTCCCAGTTTGCGCATGCGCAGAGTTGCCAGACAAAGGAACAGCTAAAGGGATCGACTTGGGAGTAAGGCCACAGGTGGACGATGAATGGCCCCTCCCAGAGGAAATAAAAGAGGAGCAAGGGGAGTGGAGTTTCAGGAGACGGTTCGCTTAATTGGTTCATGACTCTTGAAGATTCCTTGCCAGGTTTTGCAGATTCTGGCCTGTCAGCTCTCCAAGCCAGATAAGGTCTGTGTCTGTAAATCCTCCCTTGAAAGACTTTGCTGGATGTGAATGAGCAGAATTCCTTATAAATTAATAAAATGTTTTTTTGTCGGGACAAGGAGTTTGCTTCTTGGGAAGCCTAGGTCAGAACATTAATTCTATGGCCATTTATTGTTTCCTTGTCCCTGGTCCATATTTTGCTACAAAATCATTCGTTTCTGTTTTGCTTGCTGTCTTCTCCTCTGCTGGTACCTCCTAATCGGCTCATGTCTTATCTTGCAGACCAAAAGGATGGCTATCGTAAGAACGAAGGGGGCTACCTGCGTCGGGGAGGATATCGGCAGCAAGAACGTCAGAGCAACTACTAAACTTAGAACCGCTTTTATTCAATTTTATTCTTTCTCCAAATAAAAGAGCCACTTTTATTTGGAGAGGGAGAGGATACCGTGACCATAATGAGAACCATTTGTCCAATAAAACAAAACTTGCTAAAAAGGAAGTCTATTTAGTGTCCTTGGGAACAGCCCAGATAAATTAATGAATGTGAATCATCAGGCTCCATTACATTCCCAACCTTTAGTAGTTACTACCTGAACCTTGGAAAGAAAGGATGACCGTAGCAAGGGGTCCTAGACTGAGGTTTCTTTCATTTTCAGTCTTAATAGGATCAGAAATGCCTAAAGACAAGGAACTTCTCCTCAGAGAAGGTTTGTTAAAAGTGGTGTTCTCAAAAATCAGATCTGAAGAAACAACCCCAAATAACCTTTGCTGGAGCATTGCTTGTGTTGAATGTATCTGAAACTAAATAAACAATAAGTGTGAGCATGCCTGTTTGGCTTTAAAATAGTTTTGCTACCTGTCATTGTTTCTGGACTAGCAGGGAGGCAACCATATTGTAAATTGCAGGGTTTCTCCCCCCCCCCCCCCCCCAATGCAGCCTTTTAATAAGTTGGCTCTAAAATTCTGAGAAAATAGTTACTGTCTTAGCAAGACTCTCACTCGTCATGCAGACTCATCCTCAGCAACTCCCTTGAAATTCACAGCTTTTATGTTATTTGGATGATTGTTGGTGAGTGGCTGATTTAGCAGCAGACAACAGTCTTGTGAGCGGGGCAGCCATCTGTTGGTGGAAAAAGTCATCTAATGATTTCCCTCGTTCACATGGAGATTTAAACTGCAGTCTCTAGTCAAAGTCCAACTGTTACAGTATTAGGCTTCATCCACATTACTTATTAAGCACCACTCGTTTATTTATTGCATCCATATGCTTGTACAATACAAGGAAAAGTGACACGGGCTTTGTCTTTCTGTCCACTTCAAATGGCCGCTATCTTTCCTGCTGTCTCTGTTGCCTTTGCCACAACATACTAGCCATGTAAACATTTAAGGCCTTTCCAAAGCCTCTACTAACTCATCCTAGAGAAGGTGTGTGTGTGTGTGTTTCAGCCATTTATTTCTGCTTGCTTGTAACATTTTTGTACTGCGCTTGAAGCAAGTTTTTCGGTAGTTATTAAACTCAGAATGCATTAAAATACGAAACACATTCCCTAATAAACATCATTTTCAAAAATTATCAGTGTAATGTATACTGATGGCAAAACAGCCAAAGCTGTTTTAAAAACATTTGAAAGCATTCAAAACCAAAGGATAATGAAAACTAAAATAGTAAATGTGTTAAAATATTGCTACTAAACACTTAAGGCTCCCGAGAGTTTCCAATAAGTGCCAAAAGAATTCTAGAACATCTGTGGAGAGTCAGGCACTTGGGATAGTGTGTTTTCTTAATGGACAATCACCCCCCACCCCCAAGAAAGCGTCCTGATAATGGGGTGCTCCTTTAGCTCTTGATGGTGAGTGTATAACATTTACTGTATTTTTCAGAGTACAAGATGCACCTTTTTCCCCCAAAAAAGGGAAAAGTCGGTGCGATTTATACACTGAATACAGCGTTTTTGGCCTCCCAAAGCCCCGCCCCCTTCACAAACATGGATATGCATAGCCTTTAGTCGGCTTGTAGAGTGGTTCTGGGGGCTGGAGAGGGCAAAAATGAGCATAAAATGGGCTGTGTTTTGCTTGTTTTTGCCCCGCCCCCCCAACCCCCAGAACCGGTCTACAAGCCGTCTAAAGGCTATGCATGCCCTTCTTTTGGCAAAAAAATGGGCCCTGTTTTTGTTTTTTTTGCTTGTTTTTGCATTCCAGCCCCCAAGAGCACTTTGCAGGCCTTTCAAACACTGCATACTCTGTTTTTCACAAAAGAAAATGAGGAGTGCAGAGGGTTTGGGAGGTCTGCAGTGTGCAAAAACTTATTTTAAATTTACCTCTTCAAAATCTTGGTGCGTCTTATACTTTGAAACATACGGTAGTTTTAACTGCCTTGGGAGGGAGGTAGTTCATTCACACATTGGGATTGTGACATCTGGAATCTTTAACCAACATGGATATTAAGATCGACAACACTGAACTGCAGCTCCAGTATACTTGCGAGAATAGGTTTAGAAAAAATGTCAGCTATAAACTCAACATCTCACTAAGTCAAAACTCAACCGATTTCATGTGTAATTTGAATTTTATTGCCTTGGGGCCATTTGAGTCTTTTGCCCACCGAATGGCCACTTCCTTAGCTGGCATGAGATCCTGGCATTCACACATAGCCATAGAGCACGGGTGTCAAACTCAATCGCGTCACGTGACACATAACATTTTTGCCTTTGCGGAACCAGGGGGTGTGGCCTGTGCGTGATATATCTGGCTCGCATCAGTCAGTTTGACACCTGCCCTAGAGTGCCAAAATCATATTCTTCCCTCTAATTTTGCCCCATTTTCAAGGTTTTCTGCTTTTTCAAAACAAGATGTCCTTCTAATTTTTTCAAGTAATGGTTACTGAATGATGGGTGTGGCTTTTTTGTATAATTTTATTAAAGAATTTAAAACCTGTAAATTGATACAAACTAATATGCTGTACGGTAAGAAAAAAAATAAAAGCTAAAAGTTCAAGAAATAAAAGATACAAAGAAGTATCTTCTAAAACTTACAATAGTTTTAAGTACAATGATAAATTTACCTCTTACTGGTTGCAATATAATTCTTTCTATATTCTAATTATCAGAATCATTAATCATATGTTCATTTCTGTTTCATACGTAAGTCGAGAAGAGGTTTTCACATACCAATAAATACATATTGTCTTTAATCAAAAAATTGAATATAGCCATCTCAGCAAGTTCTATCACTTCAGCAACCTCCATTGGAAAAATAATGCTGAATGTTTCCATTTTTGGTTGTACATTTTGTTTTCTTATTATGAACAAAAACTAAAAAAGGTGTTTTGAAATGTAGTGATCAGATTCTTTAGGGTTGAATTTCGGGAGTTGAAGTCCATGCATCTTAAAAATGGCATAAACGCTAGAAAACCCTATTCTAAAGGCAGCATCTTTCTGCTTGCAGCAAGCCTTTCTCATCCTGGTGTCCGCCAATTCTGTTGACAATTAGTGAGTGAAACATTTTGAATTTGTGTCTTCTGGGTACAAAACAACACTGATCTTTTGGTCTTAGAAGTCTTCTGAGCTTGAAAAATTCTAAAATGCTCATGACATTCAGCCCTCTCAATTCCTGGCAAATAGATGGGGAAGAAATGGAGGTGGTGACAGATTTTATTTCCTGGCTTCCAAGATCACCACAGATGGGGATTGCAGTCAATAAATTAAAAGACGCTCCTGGGGAGGAAAACTATAGCAAATCTAGACATCATACTAAAAAGCAGAGACATCACCCTGCCAACAAAATATAGTCAAGGCTATGGTTTTCCCAGCTGCAATGTATGGCTGTGAAAGTTGGACCATAAGTAAGGCTGAGCGCCAAAGAATTGAGGTCTTTGAACTGCGGTGCTGGAGAAGATTCCTGTGAGTCCCTTGGATGATCCAACCAGTCAATCCTAGAGGAGATCAACCCTGACTGCTCTTTAGAAGGCCAGATCCTGAAGATGAAACTCANTTTACAGGGCTAATCCTGTAAGGAAGGCAGGAAGGAAACATTCTAGTGTTGTTTCTAGCCTAATCTTTATTGACCCGCTTACAGAAACTGCCTCTCTGGTTAACCCTTATTACATTGTAACAGCTAAGGCGAAGCGCCCATCGACCTGAGTGACCTTGAGTTGACCACGCCCATCCAGTCACATGGCCACTGAGCCCCACCTACCCAGATGGTCATTAGGGCAGAGAACTGGTTGTTAAATTATTTGAATCCCACCACTGGTCTATTCCTAGAATCTCTCCTCCTTTGTATTTTTTTCATCACACGTCTACCTGGGAATTTTTTTAAAAAAATGCTCTTTTCATCAGAACAATTAAGTGGTGCTAGGGCAATTTAAAAAAAAGTTCCATAGCAGTTGTTTTGTTTGTTGACCTAGTTAAGTTTTCCTCCAGGACACTTTGGAGCGCCTGAAGCAAGATGTGGCCCTTGCAGGACGCCTGGGGGTATGCTTTGGAGTGAAGCTGGTCCGGGGGGCTTATCTGAACAAAGAACGGAAATTGGCAAAGGAAAAGGGGTACCCTGATCCTGTACAGCCAAGCTGGGAAGCTACCAATGAAAGGTGAGGATTTTTTTTTCTCATTAGAACAGTTCTTTCGTTTTGAGCCTTGGTTATGTCAGGCTGTGTGCTACTTGTAATGATTTCTGTTGAGAATCTCCTCCTGTAGTAACATTCCCTCTCCTACCCCCCCCCACCCCCCCACCCCTTTCATTTTCCTTGGCAAACAGTTACCGCCGTTGTCTGGATTTTGGCTTGGACCAAGTATCTCAAGTCAAGGAGAGATTTGAGATGATTGTGGCTACACACAATGAAGCTTCTGTGACACATGCTGTACAAAGGTATAGTAACGAAAAAGACGTGAGGGGGGAAAGGTGTAATAACACATCTACAAATAAAACATCTACAAAAATATATTGAGTGGAAAAGTGCTGAGAAGAGCAATTAAAACAATTAAGGGCCTGGAGACTAAAAACATATGAAGAACGGTTGCAGGATTGGGTTTGGCTAGTCTAAAGAAAAGAAGGACTAAGGGGGGACATGTTAGCAGGATCCCAGTATTTGAGAAGCTGCCATAAAGAGGAGGGAGTCCATTTGTTTTTCAAAGCACCAGAGAGCACGGCAAGAAACAATGGATGGAAACTAATCAAGGAGAGAAGCAACCTAGAATTAAGGAGAAACTTCTTAACAGTGAGAACAATCAATCAGCGGAATAGCTTGCCTTCAGAAGTTGTGGGTGCTTCATCACTTGAGGTTTTTAAGAAGAGACTGGAGAGTCATTTGTCTGAAATGGTATAAGGTCTCCTGCTTGAGCAGGGGGCTGGACCAGAAGGCCTCCAAGGTCCCTTCCAGCTCTATTCTGATTGATTGATTGATTGATTGATTTATGTTGCATGATTCTGTGAACAAGCCCTTTCTACTTCCTTAAATGATTTGTACAAGCAATTGCATGCACAAGTAGCAAACTGAAAAAGTGAAAGCAAAGAGGAAGAGGAGAAATAAGGCAATAAGTTATGAACCCTGAAAAATTTCATTTAGATCACTGGTTCAAGTCATATGCCCTCCACATTTCTAAGCGTCAACCTTGTTTACTCAGTAGTGACATTGCTCAGAATTCTGGGAATTTGTCCATATAGCTGAAGACTGACAAGGCATTCATCTTCCAGGACTTGTAGGGCTGTCACAGAAAGAGGGGATTGACTTATTGTACAAAGCACCAGAACCAATGGGTGGAAATTTGTTAAAGAAAGATTTAACTTGAAAGTAAGGATACATTTTCTGACAGTGAGAACAATTAATCAATGGAATAGCCGGACTCCCAAGTTGGGGGGTGCTCCATCATTAGATGTTTTGAAAAACAAACTAGACAATCATTTGACCAGGATGGTACATGGTCTCCTGCCTTTAGCAGAGGATTGGACCAGAAGCAACAAACTTTGCGCTCAAGGATTGACATGTTTTCCAATTTGACACAACTGAGAGGGAAAGGTCAAAATAACCAGAGGCTTAAAAACATTAGTGCACATGTAAAGGCAAGTAAATAGTCATTTGCTCTCCTCAAACGTGTGAGAAATTAGGGCAAAAAAAATAATGAAACTGATATTTATGGTTATGTGATTTGCATAAAGTAGCAGAGGGAGCCTAGAGCCCTCAAGATTTTGTTGAGTCACAATTCTCAGAATCTGTCACTTTGGGCCATACAAGCTGAGATACTGAGGGTTGACATTCAGCAACATGAGAATTAGTTTGGTCTAGTAGCGGTTAATGCTCTGACCTAGAAACCAGGAAACTTTGAGTTCTAGGCTAGCCTTAGGCATGAAAGCTGACTGGGTGACTTTGGGCTAGTCACTCTTTCCCAGCCTAACCCACCTTGAAAGATTGCTGTTGTGGGAAAAATAGGAGACAAGTGTATTAGATCTGTTTGCCATATACCAAACTGGCAGATTTTGGAATACCCATCTCTTTGGTAGAAGCCTGCCAATGAGCTTACTCCAGAATTGTCTTCTAGCTTACATGTCTATAGGGATTCTCTGTCTTTCAGGTCATAGTTGTCCCAAAGGTGCTTTTTCAAGAGCACTTTTGGGACTTCTGGCTTTCAGTTTATGCCATTCTACAATAAATTCATGCCCATCATTGTGTCTGTGTTTGTTTTATCTTCTTAAGGATGTCACAGATGGGCATAAACAAAAATGCTGGACCCATTTGCTTTGGGCAGCTGCTGGGTATGTGTGACCAAGTGTCCTTGGCATTAGGTGAGTATTGTTCCATGCTCTTTATGATTTTTTTCATTTCTTCCTGTGATATAATCACCTCCTTTCTCTAATTTGGTTTTCACCCTCCGGCCAAGTGTAGGTCAAGCAGGTTTTGCCATCTACAAATCTATCCCCTATGGATCTGTGGAAGAGGTTATCCCTTACCTGATCCGGCGTGCTCACGAGAACCAGAGTGTTCTGCTCGGGATCCGAAAAGAACGGGATCTGCTTCGCACGGAGCTGTGGAGACGGATTTTAAGGAGGCCCTGATGGAATTTGCATGTACTAAAGACCGTCCCTTTTTTTCTAGAATCATGGTTGCTTCCAAATCAAGATCTAACAGGAGGCTAAGATATTGTGTTATTACATTTGTTCAACTTCCTGTGCTTTCCTACTGGGGTTTCCACTCCTTTTTCTATTGCAGAAGATCCATTTAAAAAAGAAAGATGGAATAAGTATCTAGTGTTTTATTTGTTGTAAGTGTCAAGTCTATTCCTGGTTGCCTCAAATTTTCTTAATCACAGTGCTTTAATAATACTTTAAAAAGTATTGATTTTGGAAAGCCTTGATGATCTACTACAGTGGTTCTCAACCTCTTTTTCACCATGGACCCCCTTTAAATATCTTTTGTGCCACACATACCATCATCATGTACCACCAAGACTCAAAATTTAAATCATAACATTTCTTCAAGTCTTCATGGACAACCTGTGATGACATTATAGCCCCCTCCACGAGTCCACGAACCCAGATTGAGAACCACTGATCTACTCCAAATCCCAGATGGGTTTCTATAGGTTAGCTTATATTAGCTTGGTGTTTTAGCTCCTTCTCTGTTTTCTTCTTCAAAAGAATTTTCAATATTGACTGAAGATTATTTGCTTATAACCAAGTTTGCCAGCTAAGAAAACTCTTGGCGATGGCAATCAATTGTGGAATGCTTGGTGGAGGTTCAGTGCCCTGATACTTTTAAATAAGATTGTAAAGATTAATATTAAGATTGTGCAACTCAACTGCATGTTTCCTTCCTAACAATTACTGTTTACAGTACTGAGTGCCCATCTTAGACATAGCAATTCAGTGTTTGCACCAGAGATGGAAATAGCCTGCATGCAATCATTCTGCAAGCATCCATTTCTCACTTTCCAAGGTTGGAATTGAGGTTGAGTTTCAGGTGAATTTTTAATCATCAGTGACACAATCAAGTTCATTGAAAGCAATCCACAACAGAGAAGAAGTGGGAATAATTTGCCTTATCTTTCTGGTCTCCACATTTTTTTCCAAATGCAAAACTTTCCACAAGTTTTAAAGTGCTATAGAATGCATATTATACCATTTGAGAGAATACAATTTGTCAAGGCACGCCTTGTTCCCTTGTCTTCCTGATTCTAGGATTGACTCAATATAACAGAATAACTAAGTTGGAAGGAACCTTGGAGATCTTCTAGTCCAACCCCTTGCTTGAGCAGGAGACCCTATATTATTCCAGAAAAGTTGCTGTCCAGTCTCTTCTTAAAAGCCTCCAGTGATGAAGTACCCATAATTTCTGAAGGCAAGCAGTTCCACTGGTTAGTCATTCAGTTAGGAAATTTCTCCTTACTTCTAGTTTGCCTCTCCAGTTTCCATCTATTGTTTCTTCCCTTTCCTTCTGGTGCTTCAGAAAAAGGTTGTCCCCCTCTTCTTGGTGGCAGCCCCTCAAATATTGGAACACTGCTATCATGTCACCCTTAATCCTTCTTTTCACTACACTAGACATACCCAGTTTCTGCAACCATTCTTCGTATGTTAAAACCTCCAATCACCTAATCATTTTTGGGCGGACTCCTCATTTTATATCTGCCATCTGATTTTAGCAGATTCCTTGGTCACCCTACACAGTGATGCAATTGCAGTAGAGATTTAATGTGTTGTTATGTTTGACAGCAGCTTTCTGCTGTTTCCTAACTAATGTGTGCTGTAGTTTGAATATGTGTTGACCTGTTTAAGCAAGGCAGAATGAGGGGGGGGGAGAAGAGGGTTTGCCCTTATATAATGGACTTAATGAATTTTAGGTATTAACAAACTAGATCTCCACACATACAGGCAGCACTAAACTGGATTAAAACCAGCTGGTTTTTTTCTAAAAATAGTTAAAGACAGTAATCAGGACAAATGGGATTTTTCTCTTGCCAGTGGGCTACAACGAAAAAACGTGATGTAGGAAGAACTGGGTGCCACAGCAGGACTGTATTAAAATTGTGTTGACCAAGTTCCTTTTCTGAAAACCTGTAACTTTGTTTTTTAAAGCTGAGATAAATAGAAGAATTGAAAGTGGGCTTTGAGGATGCCAATGAAAAAATCCTTCCTTTATTGGGCATTCCCTCATTATCTGGGAATGGCTCAGTGAGGTGATGGCTAAGTTTAAAAGCAAAAATTTAGGAGCATTCCTGTTCTAGGGACAGTCATTACCTTGGCTTATCCTTGATATCATCAGCTTCTCTTCTGGACCTCCCTCATAATTTGATGGGATGGAAAGGAGGGGTGGCAGCAGCTGTTTTGGTTCCCACAGCTCTTAATCTCAAAAAGGTGATTGATGGAAGCCAGCCAGCCTGGAGCTGTAATCCTTGGAATAGGCCGGGTTAAACAAGGTCCTGGGAACATCAGAAGGCCCACATGCTTTTCCTGGGCAATGACACTCAAATACAGATGCTCAAGTTCTCAGCAGAGTTTTTCAAAAGTTTCCATATTTTTCAAGTTACACAAACTGTCTGTTCTCCGTTTAATCTCTTCATTCCTGTCGTTAGGGCAATGGATCAAATGCAAAACCATTTTGGTCAGGGTCACGTTTGAGTTGTTGGACAATGTTTCTGACCTCTGCAGATGGCAACTGATAATTGTGGTTGTTGGATTGTTAGAAATGCGCCACTTGCAGCCTGAGAGAATTCTGTATAAGGAAGACTTTATTGTACATTAGTTGGGAGAATAGAAGACCGATCTGATGAAAGATAATGAGAAAAGGAAAGCCTGAGTTCTGCCAAGATTTGCAAAGCAGGGATCGAAGAGGAATCCTTTTCTGAGGGAGCTGCACATTTTTTAAAATAGATGTAGGTGCATGGCAGTGATGTTGAAATACCATTTTTATAGGGATCAGGAGGGATACTAATAGAAAATGGCTGTATGACATTTAGTGAAGGCTTAAAACCCCTCATTTTAGGATGCACTTCTGAAAATCGGTGTTTTGTTTAAACTTCCTTGTGAGTCCAATCACACCCGGCTAATAAATAATTCCATTCTATTCTATTCTATTCTATTCTATTCTACTCTACTCTACTCTACTCTACTCTTATTCCTATTCCTATTCCTATTCCTATTCCTATTCCTATTCCTATTCCTATTCCTATTCCTATTCCNTATTCCTATTCCTATTCCTATTCCTATTCCTATTCCTAGTCTATTCCTATTCCTATTCCTATTCTATTCTATTCTATTCTATTCTTAAGTAATGTAATTTTAAGTTACAAAAAGGGGTTGGGGTTATATATGGATTTCAAGTTGTTTATCCATGATTTGGGAAGAATTTAAGAAATCTACTTGTTTCCTCCCCCAATCTTTTGTATACACTGAGTTATTTAACCTCACTTCCCAGTTTAGACAAGGTCTTTTGTTCATATTATACAGCTCAAGACAGATTAGGTTGGGCTGAGAGAGTGTGACAGCTAGAATCACCTGTTAACTTCCCATGGCCAAGAGTAGATGACTCTGGGTCTCTCCAGTCCTTGGGCCCATCCATGCTTACGATTAACTGAAGATATTCTACTGATCATTTTTAGAGAACATGTTTCCACAATGGTGCCTTTATCTCATCTCCAACTTCCTGGGAAGCCATTTGTCTTTGGCAATGCCAGTTTATCAGTAGTGTTTTGCTTCTTCTGAACCAAGTCATCTTGTAAGAACATCCCATGATGACTTCTTAATGAAGTGCCATGGGTTGGTTCTACCTAGTTCCTATCAGCCCCTCTCAGATTCTGCAAACACAACCTTGGACTCCTTTCCTCTAGTTGCCTCTTTCCATTATGTTCCTTGCTCATTTTTACTGGGTTTGAAGGAGAGATCAGATACAGGGCTTCCACAGAAGCACTGGCCTACTGATACCTGACCAGTATTTCGCAAAGCACCAGGCAGATATTACATAGGCTTCTTATACAAACGGATTTAGCATTCTTCTGCAATACAATAGATTCTGTTTTTAATATGCATTTTTCAATCCCGAAGAAAAGTGATACATCTTTAATTTTAAAAAAAACAGGACTATCACTGTCTATAATCAAGCTAGAAATGAGAGCTGGATTTTTCTAGCTGTGGGTTGCCGGTTCTGTTCTAAATAAATGCCCTACAGGCTTTCCACAGCTCCTGACAACAAGAGTTCTTACACAACCTTGGTTCCTTATTTCTTTGAGGAATGAAGACCTTTTACATCTCCAAAGTCATCTTGTGTATTCAATGGGATGCTTGTAGGGGCTGTTAGCAATTGCCAAATGCTGCTAGCACTGCCATTTAGAGATAATTGGCAGCTGAAATGAAATAGAGAAGAATTCTGCAAGTTTGCCCTTTCCCAAGAAAGAGGAAGATCAGTAGACCTGTATCCAAAAATAGCTTGGATGATAGACTGCTGGAATGGACAATGGTTGAACTAGGAATATTCTCCTCTGATATGCCCTGCAAGCTTCCCTCCTCTTAAACTCACATGCTTCTTCTATCCCACTGACCTGTCCTCTGAGATATTTTTGGACACTACTTTACAGGTCTTCTGGAATATTAGTAAAGCTATGTCCAAAAATAACTTGGTTGACAAGTTGGTGAGATGAAGAGGCCCAGAATAAAGCAGGGGGAAGCTCTCTCACTACTTCATCCTACACTTCTACTTCATCCCATTAACCTTTCAGGTGGCCATTTTTTAACACAGTTCTCCTGGTCTTCCAGAAATCAGATAATTCAAAAATATCCTGAATGTCAAGTTGTTCCCCAGAGGGAACATCTCCATTTGAGTAATCTGTCATCTGGGAAATTCAAAAGGTGGCTACTTTGGGAGGCATCTGCCCACTTTCTTAACCTTGCCTCTTTAGATTTTAAACACAGGATTTGGTGTCCAGTCCAGCCCTCTCTGGTTGGTGACATTGAGTGGAAAATAAAGGTAGGATTTTCACAAGCCGCCTTATTGAAGCAGATTAAAATATGACTATAGGGTACACCAAATTGTGCAAGCATACTTTTTTTTTGTTTTTGAAACTCAAGAACTAAAAGAATGCGCATTTATTTATTTATTTTTAAAGTGCGGTGTGTATTTTCACTCCTTGAAAGTAGAGGAAGGCCGATGATTGCATCAGCGTGACATCAGCCAGACAAATTCTGTAAGGGGAATATCATGAGAGATAATATTAGTACACTTACAATAGATAATATTAGTACACTTACAATTTGTAATATCAAATCCTTACTCCATCCATTGTTTGCTTAATGATCTCAACTGGTTTCTGTCTCTGATATGAACATAACTGTCAGGAATGTGACAATAGGGGAATTAAAGCAACTAAGGTCTCCCTTTTTGCAGTTGTTAAGGAATAATAAGCTGATCTAAATTTATGATGTTGCCTGATTAGGTACAGATCAAATTTCCTTTGATCATATCATAAAACTATGGAAATGGCACATGCACAGAGCCTTCATCTTAAGATCTTAAGATGTGATCTTCTGATTTTCTACTAGAAGAGGCTAATCTTTCCAAACTGCTAACCTCAACTCGTATCACCCCTCAATCAGCAGTCAGTTCAAAGTTTTTCCCCCTCACTTCGTCTCTTGTTCAGATCTCTGGTAATAAATATTTTCAATACAATTATAATGCAAAGGGGTTGGGGATGGATTGGGGTGCCACTAGAATGTTCCTGTTTTTTACATTTTAAAGATGGAACACACTAAACTCTTAGAAAAGAGACATATACAGCTTAATAAGAAATATTACTATAATATTTACCTTAGTCATTCAAACTTCAAAAATATGCTCTGGGTGGGGGGAAATTGCAGCCAATCTCCATGAAATTGGAACAACGCAATAAATAAATTTCTAAATCTATTATCCAAACCCATTTAAGCCTGTATCTTGTCACTCTGTGCTTCTAAATCCTATCTCTCTAGAGCTTTAATACTTTAATCTCTCACCCTGATTTCCCTAAGCCTGTAATCTCTTTCCATCAATCTTATATTGCTATATATCACCTTCAAAATCCACAGTCCCGTCTCCATTAACGTCAGCATCCTTCACCATATCGTTAATCTCTTGAGGGGTCATTGTCTCACTCATCAACCGTTGCATGGTCTGACGCAGTTCAATCAAGGTGATCTTGCCATCCCCATTTGTGTCAAACTGGAAAGGAGACCCAGAATTATTCAGACTATCCATGCATATTTTCTATATTAGAACCAAAAGGAGGATTAGCTGCGGACCAATGTAGTAATGGCATTTGAGAGAGCAATCACTATAGCTGTGGTCTAACATCTAAGGGGTTGCCACAAAGAAGAGGGAGTCAACCTATTCTCCAAAGCACCTGAGGGCAGGACAAGAAGCAATGGATGGAAATAATCAAGGAGAGAAGCAACTTAGAACTGAGGAGAAATTTCCTGACAGTTAGAACAATTAATCAGTGGAACAACTTGCCTCTAGAAGTTATGAGTGCTCCAACACTGGGATTTTGTAAGAGATAGGACAACCCTCTGTCTGAGCAGAGGATTGGACTAGAAGACCTCCAAGGTCCCTTCCAACTCTGTTATTCTATTCTATTTCTCAGATTTCTGGAACATATTAAACATTACCCTCCAGTGCAGGAATTGCTCCCTGCCAGATGCCATAAACTGACTATGATCACCTACCACTTTATATTAACAAGTAGGACTGTTTGATGTGATTTAGAAAGAACACAGCTTTTGTACATATGTGACAAGACAGATGCTAATTGGAAATAGATGCCTTGATCGTAGCTGGAAAAGCATTAATTTCCAAACCTCCACTTTCCATAGGTGACATTACAGATTTAATTATCAAGATTCTGGTAGGCCTGATAGGTTTTTTTCCCCTTTTCCTTAGACCATTTTCACTCTCCAAGCACGGACTACAAATATCACCATTTAGCTAGCATGATCCTTTTCTGTGCTGAATGAGACATGTTTAAATTTTGCAAATTTAATTTTAACAGCACAAGATTAGAGCCTCCAAGATGACTTTCCATGGCTTGCTGGGGATTTCTGGGAGCTGATGTCCATACACCTTCAAACAGTTACGGTTGAGAAACATTGTTCCAGTTGGGTTCCTCTAGATGTCCTGGAAGTGCAATTTACGGAATTCTCTTTCAGACTTTTGAAAGGGAATGTTGGGATGAGCAATTTCATTGAGGAAGAGAGAAGGAAGTTAAGCCTCTCCATATCCATGGTCTCCATGGGCATCACATCTATCCAGATAGCCAATGGAGCGTGCTATTATCTAGTCTAAGAGGCAGCACAAAATATACCAGAACTAATTTGCTTGGTACACATAACCAATTGCTATTTGTCCTTGTTAACAAGACAGTGTGTTAACAGGGCAATTAATATACAACGATTAAAAAAATTCCTGTACTGGTGGGACAAAAATGTCTAATAATCCCTTTTCAAATGTTGGTTAGGACTGGATAAGATGCTAAGCTTAGATAGCTAGCTGGAAGCTGGCTTTAGCCAGTGCCACCACAACTGTGAACACATCCCTAGCTGAACTGGGGATAGGGGGGAATGGCCCATTTCAGGCAGCACAATCCCTTATGTAGTCACATAAGTGCCTGTACCAAAGGCAGCTTCTATTACCCCATTCTGTGGATCAAATCTTGGGAGAAAAGTTTCAGGAAACTTCACCTTTATATGAAATCCATAATCCATACAACCTGCTGACAAGCTACATTTGGGGGAGGGGGAGATGACAACTGCTAAAATTGTTGAAGACACCCTTCCCACTTTGGTCAATGCTGCCACCCTGTGCAATTTATCACATCCCACCTACCAATACAGATTTCAGAGCATCCGGGAGGGAAATAAATATGACATCCACATTTGTCAGTCACTACACACCACAAGAGACTTGGTAGGTTAGAGCACGCTCACATCAGTCAAAAGCAACTAAATGAGCTGGGCATATCATACCCTCTTCTATGTCATCAGCTCCATCTCCCCTAAGGGAGACATTAATTTCATATAGGATCAGAAATTAGCCTCAGCAATGGTTTGGAGAGACTACAGTTACATCATGTAGACCTGTTCTTAAAAGGGGTATTTTAGATATGCCCTGAACTTTAGTCTGACTCCTATATTTATGTCTATAAAAATAAACACATTAGGAGCTGTTAGCTCCACTATGTACACCCGACCTAGAAAATAACTTGAAAGGGGATTCAGAATATGAAATCTGCTATAGTAATGGCAACTTGCAAGTCTGATTGCGCTTTATCCCCCCCACACACACCTCCCCAAATAAAGATAAAAGTAAAGGTTCCCTTCACACATATGTGCTAGTCATTCCCGACTCTAGGGGGCAGTGCTCACCTCCGTTTCAAAGCCGAAGAGTCAGCGCTGTCAGAAGATGTCTCTGTGGTCATGTGGCTGACATGACTAAACACCAAAGGCGCACGGAACACTGTTACTTCCCACCAAAGTGGTTCCTATTTTTCTACTTGCATTTTTATGTGCTTTCAAAATGTTAGGTTGGCAGAAACTGGGACAAGTAACGGGAGTTCACTCCGTTACGTGGCACTAGGGATTCAAACCGCCGACCTTTGTGATTGACAAGCTCAGCATCTTAGCCACTCAGGCACCACGTCGCTACAATAAACAAATCCCAAATAGAGGGACACAAAGAAGGAACTAAGGAGAAGTCTGAGCCATTTCCTCTTTCCCCACAGGTTGAAGTGGCCTTGAATTATTCATCTCTCTGGGAATGGATCTGATTTCTCTCTGTCAAGGTCGTTTTCTTTACTCTCTACAAGAGGCAGTCTCCTACAGAAAACCAGACAGGCAGAAACTATGGCTAAGGGTAGATTGTCCTTACATTTTGTTTGTACAACCATAAGAAGATGCTGGTCTGGGTGAAGTTTTGCTCAGATCAAGAAATTAGGAAATAAACTTAAGATAAGGAGTGCCCATCTAATCTACCTTTCCTTTCTGGATCTAACTCCTGTGTCCTGTCATCTGTTTTTACCTCCTTGAAGACATCTCTCATCTCTTGAACGCCAATCATGCCTGCTGTTTCTGCCAGTAATTTTGGGGCCATCAACTCTACAAAGTCATCAAAAGCTACGTGTCCCCCAACTGCAACGAGAAAAGTGACATTTACTGCTTAAAGTGGATTTTTTTAAAAAAAAAAACCATCACCAATAAGAACACCTAGATATTTTGCTTTCTACTTCAGTTCCTTGATTAAAAGCTTTTTCAGAATATATGGGAGAAAATAATTCTGAATCCTCCCACTTCCTAAGTGAGCCCCAAAGCATCATGTTAATAATTTAGTTTTGGATTTGGTAAACACCTGGATCAGAGACCATATGAGATCATTTCTATCGGAAAGAGGAATGGCATAATTATAATAAATGCATTTTATTTTTGAAATAATGTGATCTACTAATCGAACTACTGTTGAAAGAACTCAGAAGAAGTTTCCCATTATTGTTCCTTAAAAAAATTGGAGAATAGGATCCTGGGGCAAGAAAGAATTAATATAAGCCCTTGGACTTGCTACAGTCTTTATAAAAATATTTTCCCTTAGCCATTATTTTATTGTGGGAACAAAATGGAGGGAACTTTCTTCCCAATGCAAATAATTGTTTCAGAAGAGAAGACTTGTAGTATAGTAAAAGGGAATCTCTCCTTTCTTCTGTAATCATCCCTTTCAGCAGCTGATCTTTGCTCATTTAAAAAAAGGTCCAAATTAAACAGGATGTATAAACATCCTGTGTAATTTATCCCTGAAGGACAATCACTGGCCAGGGTTCTTCAGTAGATCCGAAATAGACTTTTCAGTCTTAACCAATTTACACCATGGTTTCCAAAAGCCAGTAGTAACTTCCCTTAAAAAAAAACCCTTCAGCTCCCCCCCCCCCCGAAGTAGGAGCTTTCCTTCAGAGACAACTGCACACAAAGATAAGACAATGATTGGGAACTCATAGATCTCCAACAGTGGTTGAAGTATATTTCCCATCACTTAGTATTGGCTACAATTGATACGAGCTGGAGTCCAGAGATATCTGGAGAGTCTCAGACTTAGGTTTCCCTCATTCTTTCCAACAAGCACTTACGATTCATGTTGATCTGTTGAGACAGCTCTATGAGTTCCATCTCGGTTGGCATGTACCCCATTGTTCTCATGAGGTTACCCAGATCTTTGCAGCTGATGTATCCATCTTTGTCCTTGTCAAACTCCTGAAAGGCTTCACAGAGTTCTGTTTTTGCATGATGATGATGATGATGATAATGATAATGATGATGATGACGACGATGGTGATAAAGAATCAAATAAAATCATAGCTGGGTTTTCATAACATACTTGAGTAATTTAAGTTTCAGAGTGTTGTGGGAGCTCATTCCTTAGCATGCTATGTATACCAGATCACCACATAAACCATAATATGATTTGCATGCTTGGGCATCTCATTTGTGTTTTGTTAACCTTTTGTATTTAGCTTGGAGCCATTTTGGAGCAGAATGACACAGAAACATCATTAATTGATTGACTGTTACACAAGCAAGCATGTTTTAACAACTTAGCCCACGAATCTCATTGTTTTAAACACTGTTAATAATGTGCTTTTGCTTCATGCATTCTATGTCCATTTTCCAATTAGAGACCTCCCACTGAAGCTGCATTTACTGAGAAAATTAAACTAATTCCGCCTTTATTTTTATAAGTTAGACTTCAAATAGTAGGTCCAGAAAGGCACTTTCTTCACCATCCCTCTTTGTGAATTCATTTCAACACACAACTATTCGTCTTTTTTAATAGTCTCCAGGAGAGTTCTGAGAGCACACTTTCTCAAGGAAGATTATCTGCTACTGATGTCTCTTCAATCTTTCCTAACCTTCCAAAGGAATTCAGCATATCTTGGAGCACTAGTTTAATATATTAGTCAGAATCATATATGTGTACAAACAGAAGTTTGCACTTACCTTCAATTTCATCTCCACTCAGTTCACGTTGCTGTAACAAAAAAACAAAAAAGAAATAGCAGAAAGACATTCACTGCAATAGACGGACATAAACAAGGAACTCAGAAGCCAAGACTGATGATTCCAAACTTAGAAAAAAACTGCTCCCTTTTTTTGGGGGGGGGGGGTTTGGAGAAATCAAGGACCTAGTCACCATAATTCTATACTTAACTCTCCACCCAACTGACCCCAACCATAACAACTCAACTAAAGCATTTTTTTTTTGTCCTCGGCCAATGGAAAACATTGCACTGAATGACAAGAAATCAGCAGTATTCCAAAATAGCAGGTTAAAACCCAAATAACTATCAGGAGATGGAAAAGCTAAAGCCGTTGGGCTTTCTGATTCACTGGATCCTTCCTCAATGAGATGAATAAATGCAATGGAGAGCAAGTCTTATAGATAGTTCAGGTATCTGCTAGCTACTGATTGTGGATCAGGCTGCAATAGACTACGGATGCTTTGATTAAGAAAATAAAGAAGATTATTTGAGAAAACAGCCTAAACCAAGATGCTTACAACAGAGGTCAAAAAGATTCAGCTTTTTTCTTGTAAACTTTGCTAGTGATTGGAACAAGCCGTCCAACTAGAAAACCAAAGAGAAGTTGGAAAATAAGCATCACTTCGCATGAACCAAACTTATATTTCTGTCATCTCCATTGTTTGTAAATCCTATGTGATTTGCCACAAGTGGAGATAAAACCATTAGCAATCATGTCTTTTTCAACTGCCTTTCTCTCTCTATGTACATATGTACATATATTTACTTTTCTTCTATCATGTTCTCATCATATGCTAAATTAAATCTAATTAATCAATTAACAATAACTTGTAAAATACAATTATCTTGGTCAACCTTCTCCTACTTATAGTATTGTCTTCCCACTGTTGAATTACAGTACAGTTGAATTACAACACCCATCATTCTGGGCAAATTGGTTGGGGCTCAGAGCTCAATACATTTTTAAAAGGTTGGGGAATGTTTCTTTAGATTTCTTTTGAAGAAAACCCAGACATCTATCTATCTCTCCCACCACCATTCCATACCTCTACTGTCTTCTGCCTAATTTGGACCCGTAATCCATTCCTATTGCGCATCCTGAATTAAAAACAAAATACTTTCCTATGGCAGGGAGTGAAACCTGGGAATATTACAATCCTGCCCTGGACCACTTTTGATTAATTGTGCTTTTACTGAAAAAAACACAGAAGTCCAGTTCGGTGCGTTTTCCCTAACCTGTAGGGCTACCCCACCAATTCCTATGACCCAGTCCCCATTAGTTGACCCATACCCTCTGCTTGTCAGCAATGTTCTTGCGCAAGAAGATGCACGCTGGTCCCAGGCCGTTCTGCATGGTACAGAGAGATGCGGGTCCCAGTCCAGTCGCCAAGTCCCCAGCCAGCCTGCCTGGCACCCAATCTTCAGCAGCGAGGGAAAAAGGGCTCTTTGGAAGAGGCTGATTTATAGAGGGAGAAAGAGATCATCTCTCCTTCATTTCCGACCCCTCCTCCATCCAGGCCTTTTTTGTTCTTCTCCAGGCTGTGACATCTGTAGAATAAATCTCTCCTCCTTTGCCCAGATTAACATCGGCCACGCGGTGAAAATTGGCAGCCTGGACCCGCTTGGCTTCTCAGGAATTATGGAAGAGACGGGAGCTTCCAGAACATTAAAATGGTGTAGAAAAGGATAGATAGCAATTAAGCCATCAGGCTAAAAACTGGATGAGCGTGTGTTCCAGTCCTGGCTTAGGCAGAAATACAGCTGGGTAGGCCAGTCACTCTCTATCAGCCCTGGAAAGGAGGCAATGGCAAACTATTGCCAAGAAAATTGTGGGGATTAGTCCAGGCAGTCATGAGGAATCAACAATGTCTTGAGAGCACACATCCCCCCAAATACATACTTAAAACTCCACCACAGTATAAATTATTTTTTAAAAAAAGTTTAGGTGTAAAAATATAGAAAACCTCCACACTCTCCAAATCTCAGAGGAAAACCCCACATAATCAAATCAAACCTTTATTGTCAATGCACAACATGCGTACAATGAAATTGAATGAGCCTCCCTTGGTGTAGCCCCACCCCACCCCAAAAGACAAAATACATCTCAATAATTCAATAAATGAAAGAAATAGAATTCCTAAACCCAAAGAAGTAATAACTAACACACATTCCCATGTACCTATATGTATGTAATATTATATTATCGGTATGAACATGTTGCATGTTGCATTGGCCCTGCGAGTCTATCATATTAAACCTAACTGTGGTGTTATGTTGTGTTCAGAAGTCTGATAGCCCATGGATAAAAACTATTTTTCAGCCTATTTGTTCATCTGGCTATGCTTCTATATCTACTGTTCGGTGGTAGGAGAATAACGAAGTGCTGACCAGGGTGTAAATCATCCCTGAGGATTTTCCAAAACTGCATTCAGTTTTGGTTGCCACGATGTAGAAAAGATGTGGAGACTCTGGAAAGAATGCAGAGAACAACAACAAGGATGATTAGGGGACTGGGGACTAAAACATATGCAGAACGGTTGCAAGAACTAGGTATGTCTAGTTTAATGAAAAAAAGGACTAGGGGAGACATGATAGCAGTGTTCCAATATCTCAGGGGCTGCCACAAAGAAGAGGGGAGTCAAACTATTCTCCAAAGCACCTGAGGGCAGAACAAGAAGCAATGCGTGGAAACTAATTTCCTGACAGTTAGAACAATTAATCCGTGGAAGAGCTTGCCTCCAGAAGCTGTGAATGCCCCAACACTGGAAGTCTTTAAGAAGATGTTGGATAGCCATTTGTCTGAAACAATATAGGGTTTCCTGCCTAGGCAGGGGATTGGACTAGAAGACTTCCAACATCCCTTCCAACTCTGCTATTGTATTATATTATTGTATCCTCACTCTGTTGAGGCAACGGGTCCTGGCAATTTCATCCAGTGGTTTTAGGGGACAGCCCATAATTTTTTGTGCTGTGCTCATCACCCTCTGTAATGCTTTTCTGTCCACAGCTGCAAGCCAGCATATCATACCATAACACAATATGTAAGGACACTTTCTGTCATAGACCAGTAAAAGGAAGTCATCAGCCATTGTTCTAGCTGATTTTTCCGCAAGACCCTAAGGAAATGGAGTCTCTATTGAGCCTTCCTGACCACCTGGATCATGTTATTTTTCCAGGTGAGATCTTGGCTAAGATAGACTCCCAGAAATTTGAAAGAGGAAACCCTCTCAACACAGCCCCCCTTGGTGTAAAATCGGGCAGGTTCCTCTCTATGCTTCTGGAAGTCTAATACCATCTCCTTTGTCTTGCTCGTGTTTAGATGCAAGTTGTTTTATGAGCACCATGTGGATAACCTCTGGACTTCTTCCCTGTATACTGATTTGTCTCCTCCTGTAATAAGATCCAGTAGAGTGGTATCATCATGCAAACTTTATTATCATATTAGATGGATCGGAAGATATGCAGTTGTATGTGTACAATGAGAACACACACACACACACACACACACACACACAAACACAAACAGCTGCATAAAAGTATATAAACCCAACTTTACTGATTACAAGTTTGAAAAGGCAACGTGGCTCCACCTGCAATCAAAGGCTCAGATCGGAAGGCAGCAGGGGAATTGGGGGGTATAGTGGAGGATCTGCTTTCAAGTCATTGGAAAATATATCCAATCCAACTTCTGTGTTTGTGTTTGTTTGAGAGTGAGTGAGTGAGAGAGGGTCCAACTTCTCTGTGTGCGTGTGTCTGTTTGAGAGAGTGGGGAGGGAGGGAGGGAGGGAGGG